CTGATTCTTAAGAAACAAATTTAATATACGTAAAATCCATAAATGAATTAACTAAACTTTAATTGAAGGAAATATGATTTCCGGTTCTTAAGAAATGGATTTTTATTTATCCAGAAATTATAAATCCAGAAATGTGAAACGAATAAACGCGTTTTGATTGAAGAAATCTTTAAGAACTAGAATTTGTTCATAAGATTCAGAAAGATAGCATAATTAAACATTTTGGTTAAAGAAAACAGAATTTTTAATTCTTAAGGGCTACATTTAGTTTATAAGATCCAAAAATGACTCAACTAAACGCGTTTAGTTGGAAGAGATAGAATTTCTGGTTCCTACAAAACACATTTGATTCATAAGAACCAAAATGACATAACTAAATGCGATTTAACTGAAGGAAACGGAATTTCTGGTTCTCTGATGAATTAAATTCGATTTTTATGAACCAGAAATTCTGTTACCTTCAGCCAAAACGCATTTAGTTGTGTCACTATCACGTTAATTCAATCATTTTTTTCTCCGACGCGTAACACAACGCCCTACTTTTCACCCTCCCATAAAAAAACCCTCTCTCTTAACTTCCGTTAAAAATTCATTTCTAGCCTGCTGCAGCAAAGTCATCGTAAAAAGTAATCATATCTTCACAGTATAGAGCCATGCGAAGCGATGTGCTCGAGGTATTGTTCATGTGGCGATCATTTAGGCGCATTTGTGCATCTTACAATTCGCGAGTCGCGATCGACAACGCTCCGCAATTAACAAGTGTGTGTAAGTTCCGCCGTACGGGCGACGTACGTTTGCGCCATTAGTCGACGGGGCATGCGACACACACATATATATTTAACGTCGTGCGAAGTTTCACTTCGGCAGATTCGCCGGTCGATTTGCACGATTTGATCCGCGCGTCGACGGGAACGTCGCCTTTGACGGGATCGTCAAAGACGCGGCGAACTGTGATTCCGCGACCACTTGTGCGTCTCTCTTCGTCTCTACCTGATATCACACAATTCTACACGAACGAACGAAAGAGGAGGGGCGAGCGATATGCGGACAGCACATCTGCGTCGCTGCTGAAAAACCTACGAGGTGCGTCGAGCGTCTATGATTCGACTCAACGATCACCTGATCGCGCGCGCGCGTGTGTCCCTTCGATGTGGGAGGCTACACGCCGTTCATTACAAGACAATTTCCAAGGCCGATCGCGCGTACACGTACGTGCGTGGAGTGTTACTTAGTGTGACGGCGTGGCTCTGAAAGCCGATCGCCAACGCGGAGATAACGATAGATCGACAACGATGGATATCTGCTTGGAGGATACCTTTCGTCACGCGAGTCTCTTCTAGCAGCTTGTGCGTTCGACCGCCACTTGCGTGTGCATCTTCGTGACTCTCCCTAACGACCCCCTTCGTCGACGCGCCCTCAGGCTGTCGCGACCGCGTGCGTTTCGTCGACATTAGAATGAGATTCACTCGAGATATCGAGCGACGTAACGGAGATTCTTTCAGAGATTAAAGTCCGTATTAATAGTCGTTACACGAAACTTGCCTCAGGTGAGGCACTCAGATTCGAATTCAGAGTCAAACGTGAGTTTTCCAGCTAAATCGCAATGGCAAATCGCGCAAATAATACACGTCACATATATCATATAATTCAAGTGAAAAAACTCTCCTAAATTCAAATCTGAGTATTTCACGTAAGTGACAAGTTTTAAGTAATGACTATTATTATAGGCCTTAGGGTCAGTTCCATTCCAACTCCTTAATAAGTTAACTGATAGTTAAACCATATGTCTCTCTTTGTTTTTCTTTCAATTTAGACAAATATAGACATGTATGATTTAACTATCAGTTAACTTACCAAGAAATTGGAATAACCGGCCTTTGGTTAGGCGATTTCAGCTCGCGTGGGCGTGAAATCCCACAGGATCCCGCGAGACGTTTTCAACACGGTGACCCACGACCGCCGTGCCAAATGACGGCGATTTTAGGCGAGCTCGCTAGCGAGAACTGGCTGGCTGGCACACGAATCGCGATTGGAAAACGGCCAAAGTACGGCTCGTGAACACTCCGAGCGTACCGTTAAACCGGCCGACCCACCGCGAAATCTTCTTCGGATTGCACGAGCAGTGCTCCTCAAAGCGTCGCGTCGAGGAACTTCACGAGTGAAGCAAATCTCGCTCGAAGACGTTGGAGAGGCGTCTCGTGACGTGAAGGAGAGATATCGCGGGTTGCGCCACTCCGATAAACACCCCGTATAGCCTAGAATCTCAGATCTTAATTTTAACGACGGACTCTTCGACGGAATTAGGATGGACTTTTTTGACGCGTGACCTCCGAAATTCGTCCGAAGATCCCAATTTTACAAGGCGCTCGATTATAGAATTGTTTGCACTAGAATGCCCGGGAATTACAACTCCTTTTGGATACCCGGAAAGGTCATCTTAATTCCTTGCGATTCTATCTTAAAATTCTCTTTCTGTTCCTCATTACTCGTACCAATGACTTCTCAAACATTTTAAGAATACGATTAAAAGTCACAAGATATATTCTTCTTTAAACCACAGAAATAGCGACAAAGAGACTCCTTAAAGGAGTCAAAATTACTCCATCGGGCATTCTGGTGTGTTAAAAGGAATACCGGATCAACGGCTCATGAGATTCTCCGCGTTCTCTTAATGAGACGAGGAAGAGAGAGGAGAGAGAGAATCGCTGAAGATCTGAAGACGATACGCGACTACCATAACTTTGCGAGCGCGTGTCGTAAAAGACGCGGATGTCGCTCGATCGTAACTGGTCTCGTAAAACCGTCGACGTATGCAATCCCCGTTCGTTACTCCACACTCCTCGTTTTCTGGACGCCTGCCCGACCGCGGCGATGCGCGCTCGCGATTGGATCAGAGTCACGCCGCGCGGCGTGCTAAGAGCAAAAGGAAGAGCTTCCTTCCTTCCAAAGTGCGGGCGCGCCTCGAAATTCCAGCGCGTTCGGCGAAATGTTTAAATCTTGAAAAGAAGGAACAAACCAGCAGATTTATTCCGTGCTTCCTTAACGCTTGCGTCACGCGTCGTCGCGCAAATGTAACACACGGAAGAAGCAATCTAAGTTGGATTAACGTGACATGTTTGATTAAATAAGATTTAGCTGAACTATACTGCTGGTTGCTAAGAATACTGCTGATCCTTGTAATGAAATATTCTGGTAGCCAACCAGAATATTTAGATCCAACAACGATCAGAGTTTGGTTATTACTGATCCAATTGTAACATACAAGTGTCTGCTTGTTATGACCAGAAAGTGTGGTTGAATGAACGTGACACGTTCGGTTAAAGATTGCTAGTTGAACTAAGCAGAATTTCTGGTTATTCACAAGTTCTGATATTCAAAACTAATTACAATATAGGTAGACAACATACAATGCATCTATCAACTAGTGAAGTGGCGTAGCGCGTAAGCAGACGACTGTCACAATCCAAAGATCCTGAGTTCGAATCCAAGCAGGATAACAGACGAGTTTTCCAAAACTCATCAAATCAATTAAATTTTAAGCAAAATAATCACACGCTAACATCTTAAAAAACAACTTTCAGTTAAAAAAATATTAAAATTTCTAGTATGAAATGTGAATATATAATTTTGTTCAGTTTTCATTAAAATAACTAAACTTATCTGGTTACTTTAATCAAACGCTTGTACAAACCAAATTTGTCTGGTTATCTTAACCAAAAATATAGTTCGTTTGTGTCTCACCAAACAGTCTTGATGTATTCTAAGTCATGATTCAAGTTCAAGTTCTTCTTTTCGTGAGCATAATATAGGCTGTGTTCCAACATCCGGCAGTACTGGCAGCGCTGCGAATATCATTCCGAGATGTGCAACAGTAAATTTTGAAAGCACATTTTCATGTTCATATGACGTCACAGATTTTGTCCGTTGCGAGCTTGATGGTTAGTTTTTCCAGATTCAGTGTTATTTTCCAAGCGCATTACTGGGATCCTCATACGAACTTTCAAATATAGAGTTTATTAGACGCCGCAGAATATTTTGAAGCGCCGTATAAACCAATCGTGCTTTTTCTTTAAGCGCTTCAAAATGTTTGCGGCGTCTAATAGATCGCGCCCAGTTTAATTATTAGAGATGTGCGAATCAAAGATTTTTAATGTCGAATCGAATCGATAAAATGTTACCCGAATCGAATCGTTAAAAGAATTTTTAATTAATATAATCATTGAATTCAACATAAAAATAGTGATTTCAGTTTGAGAAAGATAACATTGATCATGTAATACCAATTCACTTTAAGGTAAGAGATATATAATATATAGTCGGTAAGTGTGTATGGAATACAGTTTCAGCCTTGAAAGCTGCGCAACGACACATATCGATCCGACAGTTATCGGTAAAAGTTTATCTAGCCATTATCTTCTTTTAATATTTTTGAAGAAAATCTTAATGTATAGCAAATTTTTCAAGTCATGCTAATTCCCGTAAGGCTGGATATCTTTAATAGTTCTTCGTTAATGCTAATGTGCGTGATTCGTATTTGAATTTTTTAATTTTGAAATTTTCGAATTGTTCGGATTTGAATCATAGGGATTCGAATTTGAATCGAATTTCACTTGATTCGATTCGAATAATTCGCACATCTCTAGTAATTATATGACTGACGTCAATTGATATTCGGTCTATCTGATTGAACAAACCGTATTGGGACTCTAGTAACACGCTTGGAAAATAACATCAAATCTATCTGGAAAAACTAACTGTCAAACTCGCGACGGAGCATGCCGAGAGTGAAATTTCTTGCTACAGAACGAATTTAGCGACATACATGACTCCTCGCAGGAAAAGCAACTGCAAATCACGCTGCGCGGACACTGAAGTCGGTTGCACCGATCAAATGACTGAACTAACAGTTAAATCGTACATATGTCTCCGTTTTTTCCTTCAAAATAACCAAAGACAGACTCAGTTGAACTATTAATCGTTAACATAAACTTTTGGCTCACCACTCAGTTGATGTGCAACCGGGCCTTATTCGCACGTTTTTCGGGGGATGCTGAGTCTTCCAAACAACTCGCCCTGCATCGCGGTATATGCGCATAATGTGACGCGGATCACGATGTACCTTGGACTATCGAGTTAGCGTCTATGAAGGCGCGAGTGTTTATTTGTAGTGGTATCGAGTGTCTGTTTATCGGTAGCTTAATGTCGCGATACGGGAGCGAGCAAAGCAAGACGAGACGAAACGAGACGAGACGCGTCTCTCACGTGCTCTTTTACGACCTGTCCGTTCCACGTGCGCCTGTTATCGCTATCGTCGTCTACATTCGTCGCTCGTCTTTCCTACTCTCTATTGCGACCCGCGCCAAGATCCTCGAAGATCGTATCGCGCGCTCGTAAATCATAAAACACGCTTGTTCGCGGTCGACTCGTTCCCGACCGAAGTTCTCGGTCACTTGCGAGTTTATTCGTTCGTAGCGACTCGATCTTACGTAATTATCAGCTTCGTCGACGAGACTGAAGCTGGATGACCAAATATCTCGAGATTACTGCGAGAAGTATCCATCTCAAAAGTGTCGCACACTAAATGTAGAGATCAAGTCTGATCGCGCGACACACCCGCTGTTCCTCTCTCTAGAATGTGCATCAATACAACCTTCTCCCCCTCTCTCTCTCTCTCTCTCTCTCTTTTCTTCTTCCTCTCTCGTTGGAATGGCAACACGCTTGTGCATCGCCGAGAAAAAACGATCCAATTCCAAGATCGACGGGGAACGCATGTAAATTGAACGAGATTACATAAGTACGTATAAAAATTGCCCGCAAACAGATTGCATATCTTTTTTTTTTTGCCAGCCGCGTGTATAAACCACTCGTATATTTATTTACATATAAGTGCGCACGCTGATCCTCGACTTGTGACATACAGCGACTTCCCAAACAGCGCAAGATCTGCAGAGGATGTTCTGAGGACGTTCTCAGGACGCAAGGACGTTCTCAGAATGTCTTTGGGGTGTTCTGCGAAGATCTGTGCTGTCTGGGTTTGGAGACTTTCGAGGCCGAGAGTGTCGAGCGCTTCGCCATCGCCAATTTGAAGTGACACGCTCTCTTAGCCCGTCTCCAGTGAATTCGCGATTCCCCACGCGAACGTTTCGCAACGTCGAAAAGTTACTCGCGAACGCGTCGGGCGGACAACAGCTACTTCTAACTGCCTACTTGTCTATTTATCTACGCCGCCCGTGACTTCCATTCGCACGTATGAGCGAACGATGACACGTCGCGGCTCGAGAAAATACGTCGATATATGCGCGAGTACACGCACGGGGAGCGTTTCCGTGTTCGAGCTTCGGGGGAGTTATATTTGGTTTCACGCGAACGTGTGCCTATGCCACCACCTTGCGTACGACTACAATACTGGAGTGTGTGCAATGCGTGTGTACATGTGCGTGTTGATGCGTTAGGTGAGGTTACGTGCGTGCTCGGGTCTTCTCGCCGCGCGCGCGAGTCCCTCTTTCTCTGATTTTCCCTCGTGAACGCCTCGAGCGGCACGCACGTCACCGGGACACTCGTGTCTGTGTGGGACACTCCGGGTCCGCGCGCTCTCGTTTCCCGTTTCATCAAGCGGGCCATGCAGCCGCGTTCATACGGTTGCCGAGGACTCGGGCGCCACCTCCTCGGCGCGAGGCTCCTGGACGTGGCGCGTCGTCGTCTCAGCCGCGGCAGCAGCCCCGAAACGGCGACGACGTCGATCGATTCAGGCTACTCGCATTCATCCTGGATCAGCTGGCCGGCATCTCCGAGCTCTGCGTCTGCGACAGCTCCAACAGGTGGCACTCCGACAATGGGATCTCTCTCGTGCGGGCGCTCTGCTTTCTCTGCGTAACGCAATTATAACCCGATTAGAAGAGCATTTCTCTAATGAGTCTCCACGGTGGTGGTCGCACCAGTCGTCTTTACGTCACTGCACCGCGGGAAATACCGCGCATTTTCAACGACACCTGAATCTCATCTGAACGCTCTCGAGATCTCTATGAGACAACGTAGTTGTCCTCCGGATGTTTGGCAGACGCTTTTCGGATTTCTGCACGTGCTTCGAGATCGAAATCGCAGTTAGGACGATGTTGATATCAACATAACGCTATTTGTAGTTTTCTCCTTTCTTCTAGCTGGATGCATCAAACTGAAAATGCTTTTGTAGGGTAAAAGTACAAACATTAATGAATGACTGATGCTAAATAATTGCATGAAATTAGCAAAAAAACGTTATGACCTGACGGTAAATAAAAATTTTTTGTTGATTTCATGTAATTGTTTAGCATCAGTCACTCATTAATGTTTGTTGTACCCTGTAAAAGCATTTTCAGTTTGATGCATCCAACTAGAAGAAAAGAGAAAACTACGAAACTACGTTACATCGGTATCCAGCATCATTTTAAAAGGATACCGGAATGGATAACAAATTCGAAAAATGTCGATAACGTAGAGAAGATCGTCACTAACACGATCACGCTACTCTTTTCGTATTTCTTGTACATGTAAATCTTATATAAAAGTATTACTTCTACTAATTACTTCGTTTTACCAAGCTAGCAAAAAGCAATCACATACATGTGTAAATCTTTCTGCAAACTTTTCGTATACTTTTGAGCTTATATTACTCGTCAACAAAATTATCGCATAGGTAAATTCATGTCAAAATTTCGCATAATTTTTTTTAAATGGGCATAATACCACAAAACATTATCGTATTTAAAATCTTTTTGTTCTATTTTAAAGTCTGTAATTTAAGGAGCATTCATCCGAATTTGAATTCACTCTCTTCCCTTCCCGCAGTCTTTTCAAAAGTAAAGACGTGTTGCGTCTCCAAAAAATTGCACAATTTGCCATATCCTACGAGATGGACTAAATTTTTTTCGTGAATTTCATGATAACTATTGTAAAGTATAGACTTTCCCCTGCAATTAAAAAAAAAATGGATTTGTACGATTTTTTTTTCGCGGACTTACGACATATCAAAATTACCTATGCATTCTAAATTTAAATGAGCACAATACCACAAAACATTATCCTATTTAAAATCTTTTTGTTCTATTTTAAAAAGTGAAGTCTGTAATTTAAGGAGCATTCATCCGAATTTGAATTCACTCTCTTCCCTTCCCGCAGTCTTTTCAAAAGTAAAGACGTGTTGCGTCTCCAAAAAATTGCACAATTTGTCATATCCTACGAGATGGACTAAATTTTTTTCATAAATTTCATGACAACTATTGTAAAGTATAGACTTTCTTCTGCAATTTGAAAAAAAAACGGAGTTGTACGATTTTTTTTCGCAGAGTTGCGACATGTCAAAGTTACCTATGCCCTTTTTAAAAATCGCTTAATCTGACGCACTCTTTTATTTAAATTTACGTGTTCCCGACTCATTTTTGAATAACCTATTATAACATCGGATAATACTAATGCTGATGATAACTGATTAAAAATACATAGGGAACTTTGATACGCCGTACAATATCACGAAAGAAATTCGTGCACACCTCTTCTTTATTTTTTTATTTGCAAAGAAACGTCGATATTTTATGATAGTTATCGTAAGATTTGTGAAAAAAATTTACTCAATAGAGTGCGTCAAATTAAGCTATTTAAAAAAATGCATAACTTTGACATGTCGCAACTCCGCGAAAAAAAATCGTACAACTCCCTTTTCTTTTCAAATTGTATGAGAAAGTCTACACTTTACGATGGCTATCATGAAATTAACGAAAAAATTTATCCACCCCGTAGGATACGACAAATTGTGCAATTTCTTGGAGACGCAACACGTCTTTACTTTTGAAAAGACTGCGGGAAGGGAAGAGAGTAAATTCAAATTCGGATGAATGCTCCTTAAATTACAGACTTTAAAATAGAACAAAAAGATTTTAAATACGATAGTATTTCGCGGCATTGTGCTCATTTAAAATTAAAATGCATAGGTAACTTTGATATATCGCAACTCCGCGAAAAAAAATCATACAAATCCACTTTTTTTTTTTAATTGCAGAGGAAAGTTTATACTTTACAATGGTTATTATGAAATTTACGAAAAAAATTTAGTTCGCCCCATAGGATACGTCAAATTGTGTAATTTTTTGGTGACGCAACACGTCTTTACTTTTAAAAAGACTGCGGGGAAGGTAGAGTAAATTCAAAATCGGATGAATGCTCCTTAAACTACAGACTTCACTCTTTAAAATAAAATTTAAAAAAAACTCTTTAAATTAAAATAAAAAAAGATTTTAAATACAATAATGTTTCGCCGTATTATGTCTATTTAAAATTGTGAGAAATTTCGACATAAATTTACCTATGTCATAATTTTGTGTTGACAAGTATATATTTAATTTTAAAGATATAGAAATGTCCTTGAAACTTTCGTTATCGAAGCAAATACATATGCAATATGCATATGCAATATACACTGCAGAATTTTTATATCAAGTAAATAAATATTTACGTCAACTGACAGTTCGAGATGTCAATTTTAAAATTTTCTATTCGTCTTCATCATGAGCAATGCCCCAATTCATTATTGCATATACTTTCAGTGTGTAGAAACATTTGTAATTCTGTGCAACCAATATAGAAGGTAAACTTTGCAGAAAAAAAGTCAGTATTATGTCGATAAAGCTTTCAGGTATGGCATCCCCTTAAGTCATCCGGAAAATCGAGGAAAATGCAATGTCGGGGAAAGAAAGAATGAAAAGAATGAAAAAGATGGGTAGACTTGATTCAATCTTAGAACAAAGCTCGCTTCGAGCACACAGTGGAAGAATACGACATAAAATATGAAAATATGAAAATAGCCAGTAGAAGTAATACCCCAGGATGAAATGTACAAGAGGAGGGGAAGAGAGAGAGAAAGAAAGAGAAGAAGTGGGACGTTTTATGGAAAGAAAAAATTACCTTTCTCCGAAACGGGAAGCAGCCTCTGTCTTCATTGTTGGGCGGCGGATGGTTTATCAATAAGTCTGGAGTAGGCGTGTTGTTAGGACCTAATACGTTCAGCTCCTTAAAACACTCAGTCTCTATCATCTGCAAGCGGAGGAAACGATGGGCGAGTTAGGTTCGGGGCGATTCGGCGGTCCCGATACGCGAGAGGCGAGCTTACGAGTAAAGTGATTTAGAGCCGGCGGAGGCTAAAGGTGGCTCGTGCGTAAAACGCGTCTGTACGCAAAGCACGCGGCTTTAAATACACCCACCCGAATGACGTCAGTGATAACGAGAGCCTCTCTCGCTGCCTCTGACGTAGGAAAACACTTTGCACAAGACCCATATTTTTCAATTTAAGTGCTCGCACCGTCCTCTCCAGATGCTCCAGAGCGCGGTGTAACACGCTCTCGGCGAAAGTGAGACATGGACGAACGCTCTCCCGCAGGTCGATCGGCGCGAGCTCAACTTCCCAAGTGAGCGCCGTACAACAACGAAACTTTATCGTTCACGGCGACTGGTCGGCCGGCTGGCTGACTGACTGGCCCGGGGGACTTTAAATTCGAGTGGATTTGATTTGATTTTCCCAGAACCGAGGTTCTCGAAATTTAGCCGCTGGGACGGTTTAAGTTCTGAGAATTAACAACCGCGAGAAACAAACGAGAGCTTAATCGAGAGAAGTTTTGAGGGCCAATGAGAGAGTCTATACACAGATGTAATAGTGTAATCAGAAATAAGTAAAAAACTTGAAACTGTGGCTTACATGGTCAATAAATATAAAATTTTATTAGTCAAGATATCCAGAGGTTTCGATCCTCAAGCGGATGCGATGAACGTAATGAGATTATATGAATTGACATATTAAATTGTATAGAGAGTTAGTGTGTATTTTTTATTTACCATTGAAAAAGGTTATATGTAAGTCACCGTTTCAAGTTTTTACTTGTCTGATTACACTATTACACCGGTGCATATTAGCCCTAAAAATTCTTCTTGGTTGTACATCATCAAAGCCTTTTCATTTTCAAAGAAAATGAGTCTCTTTTGGAGTATTCTCTCATTCTCCAAAGAAAGATAGATTCTATTCTAAGTTTGCCAAAGAAAACCCTCCAAGTTTGTCAAAGTGAAAACGGAAAAATTTGCATCACTCTATAGGTGGGATTGTTAGTTGCTATCGCAGCATGGTCGATACCGATATTGAGTGTTTGATGTGCGCGTGGGCAGCCAAAGAACGCGATTTACATTCATGTTACAATGGAGATCTTGTTAAATAGTCGTCCGTCGAATGCCGGGGAGCATCGATATTTTGATAGGATGGGGTCAAAGGCCTCGCCGAAGGAGCATCACGTGTCCTCACGATCAGTGATTACGACGTGTGTGTGTTAAGTTGGCACCTCAACTTTTGGCATCGCAGGTTTTTATGCGACAGTTCTATGAGATGCTAACTTCCCGTGGCACCTCAATTGTCGATAAAAATGATTTCAACCATGGAATTTTATAGTTCCAGAAGGGTTCTGCAATCCCTGACATGATATAACGATAGTTCCGCTTTCCACTATTTTTACGTAATTGTTGCATTTGTATGCTAGCCCCACCATTCAAAAAAGGTAGATTCAAATACTGAATATTATAGTTCTAAAAGACTTATATAGTTTCCAATAGATGTTATTGGGAGTTCCGACCCACGTAACTATTTTTAAATAATTTTTTATTCCGAACGCTGGCACTTGATCCAAGAGTAAAGTCCGGGATGCTGGCAGTTCCAGCCGACTTTTCGGCATTTCCCGGTAATTTTACAATAGATGCCACGGGAAGTTAGCACTTCATATTTTTGTTCTTCGGCTTTTAGTTATTTCGATGAAACTGTTGGTGCAACTTATCAGGTAGAATACTATTGCAGGTGCAAATAGAACTCGCATAAAAACCTGCGTTGCCAAAAGTTGAGGTGCCAACTTCACACACACGATTACGACGCAAACGTGCGGGGGGCGTCTCCTTACCTCATTTTGCCATGGAATGGACACACTGCCGGTGTTGAATTTGCTGTAGAACGTGTCGTCGGTGGCGTCCAAATTGACACCTTTCACCGTGGAGAACTGCTCAATGTCCAGTACGTCTTTGGCGTAGACCGCGCGAGGCTGTAACAAAAACCAGCGACGGTTAGTTAATGACTTTCACCTTCGCAGCCTGGCACTCCTAAGTGTTCGCATGATTTCTTGCGCAAACGATGATTCGTAAGGGGCCGTTAATGAGTGAAGAGAAGCAAACAGGGTACTAAAGTTACAAGACAAAAATAAAATCGTACCGAAGTATCTCTCGCGACTTATTTCGCAAATTTAATGAAGCAACGCCGCGGTTGTTAATTCTCAGGACTTCGTTGTATATTGAGTTGGTGATAAAAGATTTGTCGCTCTTCTATTAAGCCGTCATTGGAAAGGTGGAATCTGGCAGATTCCTTTCTTCTTCTTTTTTTTATTGTGTTTTTATATAATTTCTCAAACCTTATAATATCTCTTATTATTTGGAATATTGAGATTTACAATAACAGCTAACAGAAAAGAAATTCTGAAGACATTACAAAAATTTAAAGAGAACGAAATGGAATGCGTGGGGTTTGCCAAACCACATCTTTCCGACCAAGAGTTAAGTTCTCGTGAAAAATCTGGGCTTCAAAAGGAAAACAGCAAGTCCTCGTTAGATGTTCCAAAGGATACCCGATCGAAATTGTTTATTTTATTCATGGAAAATTATTAATTCTGCGAAACTGGGTTTCGCAAATTTCATTTTGCAGTTTATATTCGACCAACACGACGGAAACCTTTTGCACCAACCCAATATAATCCAATCGATGCAACACGTGCTGTATAATCTATTGACCGCGCGCGTCTGACAAATTCATTATATCGACCTGGCGGGATTGCGGAGATTCGTTTTATGCGAGAATGCAAATAGACGAACGGATGGCCGGCGCTTATTTTCGGTTCGCGTGTGCAGGTCAAAGAGAGAGAAAGAGAGAGAGGAGAAAAAAGCGAGCGAGCGAGCAAGCGCTGACGCGAAACGAGAAAGACAAAAAGAGCACGCGAGAGAGAGAAAGAGAAGAGAAAGAAGAGAGAGAAAGAGTCTCGACGTGGATAAGATAATCGATCACAACAGCATCTACTTACATCCGGCACAAACGGCGGTTCCCACATACCGGCCTCGACCCTCTTCCAGTTTAAGCATTGGAAGAAGCTGTGGAGCTTCACCTCCTTCGCCCCGTGCCGACCGCACTTGCAGCCGAGCCTGTTCTTCGGGCTCTTCTTCAGCAGCTGCTGGCAGAGGCTCTTGGCGTCCTCGCTGAACTTGGGCGAGTACCTCTCCTGATCCTCCTTGACGCGTCTGTCGACCTCCTCGCGCTTGACCTTCTCCTTGCGGGCGCGGAAGGGCGCCTGGCCCTCGATCATCTCGTACAACAGGCAGCCGAAGCTGAACCAGTCCGGCGAGAAGGTGTACTTCTCGTTGTCGATCACCTCGGGCGCCATGTAGCCCACCGTGCCGACCCGGCCGCGCACCATGTCGCCCTCCGTGATCTCTACGGCGAGACCAAGATCGGATATCCGCACGTGACCGTGATCGTCCAGCAGTATGTTCTCCGGCTTGCAGTCCCTGTAGACGATACCCTGTAGATGAAGGTGCTCCAGGCCGCAAACGACTTCGGCCGCGTAGAATCGGGCGCGATTTATGTCGAAACCCGGCTCACCGCCCATGTTGTAAATGTGGAACTTGAGGTCGCCGCCGTTCATGATGGTCAGCACGAGGCAGAGCGCGTCCTTCGTCTCGTAGGCGTAGGCCAGCGAGACGACGAACTTCGAGTTGATCTTCTGCAGGATGTTCTTCTCGATCAGTACCATCGACTCGCCCTTGCGCTTCTTGATCCGCTTCTTCTCCAGCTTCTTGCACGCGTACATCTTGCCGGTAGCGCGCACTTGGCAGGCGCACACCTCGCCGAAACCGCCCTTGCCCAGCACCCGATACATCCGGAAGGTCTTATACGTCACCAGCTGCGCCTCCAACCATTTCCATTGGAGGTACCTGCAGAGACGCGTGAGATAAGAAGATGAAGAAGACTCATCGCTTCTTCTCGCGCGTTTTCAACAATGCAACGAGAAATTTATCTCGACGTTATCTCTTTCAGATTCGCCACTTTAACCCACTTGCGGCCACCATAGAATGAGTCACATTTATCGAAAGGAGAGAATTTTATAACAAGAATTACTATACATTATATTTTACAGTAAGACTACTTTGTAATCGATTGATATTCTAAAGTAATTGGCTATTCTTTTATTTTTTTATGTGCTACTTATATTTTAGGAATAAGGTCTTAAAAATTTGCAATGTTTCTAGCAAAATTTACTATGATCCTTAGCCAAATAGACTTTACTGACAGTGTATTTTTCTACACTACTAGAAACATAAAATCGAAAAAAAATTATATAAAAACTATCTTTCCGTCACAAAGTCATTTGTTTGATACAATTTTGCTCTATTTCTAGCGAACTTTATTATATTTCTCAACAAAACAGATATTATTGAAAACTATAATACTCTCTCTCTATACATAAAAAATCAATTATATACTCATCCTTATGTTTCCAACATCTAATACCTAATTTTGTATCTAAGTCTAACATCGTTTTAAGACTTATAGAGAGTAAGCAAACTAATGCTTTAATTAAAAATAATAATCGTGAAATAATTATGATCTTTAACGATTCAAAGGAAATAATCAACTTTTGAAAAAGATAATATTCATATAATTATAATTTATATTTAAAAAATGTCATTTCTAGCTAAATTACTAATATAATTTATTTATTAACTTATTAATTTTTAATTAATATTAATATTGTCATAAAATATACAAAAGGTTCGGAAAATTAGATCCATATATAAAGTTCGATACATTCAAAATAATGTTGAAAATCTCCCTGATGAGGCAATAAATATTAATTTGTTCGCGACAATCTGTCAACTGACCTGTTTCTCATGAAAAGATTAACACGCGCGTGAAATCGCTCGCGATTTGCAGTCTACCATCAATAACGCCAGTGTCTGTACCTGTAAAAGTAGAAGCTATTGAGGAAGGATGAGAACGGCAGACCAGCCAGGAAGTTCTTCACCGTCTGTGCCACCTCAACGAAGAGCTCCTTGCCGCCGGTACTGAGCCGTTCCTCGCACTGCGAGATCAGAGAATCGTTCAGGATGTCGACCACCTCCGAGTCCTCCCTCTTCAGATACTGCTCGAACAGCTCCTTCGCCAGCTCGGTGCGATTCTCGTCCATTTCGACCTCGTACTTCTCGATCGCATCCAGGAAGAGATTGTAACGATGGTAGGTCGGCTTCCTGTCCTGGCAGAACTGCCTGAATAGAAGCCGCCCGATCGGCTGCTGATCCACCACATAGCTGTACCTGATGTCTGTCCAACATCACGAACGTTGATTACGCACCTGCGGCTTGGCGCATTCTTCCGCCATCTCCCATCCCCTTTCTGCCCTCCCACGAAATGAATCGCACGTCGTCAATGTTCTACTTATAAATTTTTCGTCGTCCAAAGCTTCACATGTGAGTCCCCCCGAAGGAAATCGCGAACTCTTAGAACTTATTGCCGAAATAGAAATTGCACGCGCAAAATTAATGATCTCATAATAAAAGAATGTCGGAAAAATACTCGTCCCAAAATTGTATATACTACACTGAGAAAAATCCACTTGTTTTAAAATTGATATTTAAGAAATAGTACTTAAAAATTCATTTGACAAAATCTATTTCTACGAAATAAAGTTTATTTTTATGAATTAATTTCACATATGCTATACGGAGAAATTTTTAAATATTCTTTTCTCCCAGTGACATTTAATCATTTATTAATTTAATCATTATTTATTAAATTAAAAATCATTTATTAAAATAATATACTAATTATTTAATCATCGTTTAATTGCGAGGAAAAACTTCACAGTTAGAGGACAAATAAAAATAAAAATTAAAAAAAAAATAAATTTAAAAAGATAATTTTAAATGATAGGAACTCGAAATAATACCGAAAAATAAATCCTTAAGTATTGTAACGCGATATTAACTGGTTTTCCATTTAATCGTCATTTATTCACAAACAGAAACTTTTCACGGTTACAAAATAAACACAGTTAGAAAATAATAGTTTAAAAAAAATTAATGTAAAGCTTGAAATAATACCGGAAAATAAATCCTTAATTGTGTATGCAGTATTAACTTGTTTTTCACATAGTCGTCGTTTATTCACGAGGAAAATGTGTCTCAATTACGGAATGAATGAAAAGTTTTTTAAAGCAAATAAAGGGGACAGGTAAGAGACTTAAAACTCAATACCTTGAAAACATACTGAGAAATAAATTCGCAAATGTTCGCGATAATGGTTTATTCGTGAACATAAAAGAGACGTATATAGTCATGACTTTTGATTATTTCAAGCCGGGGAGGCGTTATTAGAGTAGGTTAATGGGACGCGGAACGAGCATTGTCTCGTTCCATTGCAGCTTTTTTTAACAATCGCGCAGCGCATGTTCGCTGCGAGAGTTATTTTTCATCAAGATTCAATAAGCATGCGAACTCGCTTTTAGCATAGCTTTGTGTGAAACATCATTTTTGTTGAACTTTCAGTATGTGTAATCGCGCGAATTCAATCCGCTTTTCTAACACACATTGAAATCGTGCGATTTATAAAAACAGTATTTTCAATCGCATCACTCGACGTGTAAAATTTTTACTCGATTCATATCCGCGGTTTATCAATTAGCTCTTAACGCTATGGAAGTTTGCCAGAGTTTTTAGCCGGTTAAATTTATAATTACTACTGACGCTCGACTCACCAAGTTTATCTTTTAGGCCGATGCACTGGGAAATGTGTGGGAACTGAAGTATCTTCCGCCATTTCTTACTCTTCCCTTTGTTGCTGTCACCACCGCCTGCACATAAAAAATTCGAATTTGCAATCTCACAAAAATTCGCAGAGACAAAAATGTGCTGCAACGCGCGAACTGTAACTAGATCACTAGATATACGGAAAAAATATTCTACACAGGAGAAAAAATTAGTATTCAATTCACTTGAAGCTAATATACTCAAATTAACAATCATTGTTTCATATATATAAACAACAATATGTAATTTCGTTGAAAGAATTTCAACACAAGATTATAAATTTATTTTAATATTTTGAATATATCGTAATAGTTTCATAAGAAGTGGAGTATTTTGACGATAATGATATCTCCTTCCGACATCTTTGAAAACATCATATTCTCAATCCCATATTTCGTACTTTCCATTCATGAAAATTATTTCTAAATAATAAGGACAGAAGGTTTTTCTTCGTTGAACTATATAAAATATATTCTTGCAAGTAATTCATCTTTGTTTAACATTATGTAATCTCACTTTAACATGTGAAAAATAAAGATATTTTCAAAATAAAAATGTTCTTTTTCTTGTGTAGTTCTTCTTTTCATAAATGAAAGATTATTTAATAAAACTTGATTTTTCTTGAAACTTTATTTAAAACTAAACAGATTATCATTAAGGTTTACCTTATTAAAAAACATAGTAGACTTCATTAGAAACATAGCAAATTTTTTAACTCCTCAAGTTGTATACTCGGAAAAATTTCGTGGTAAAATATCAAATCCTTCTTGATTTATTTAAACTGATATATTTTTTTAACTCCTAGCAAACACGAATAAGATTTAAATATATTTTACGTTCTATTTTTCAAAATCTTTCAGAGAAAACAGCAATAAAGAGAAAAATATCTCAATATGCTTATTTAAAAAAAAAATTCGCCCTAGAAAGAATCGCTCAATCATTTAAAATCACCACAGAAGAGGTTGGTAACACACACGTATTAATTCTTAAAATATAAATAGCACATATATGAAAATGAAAAAATAGCCAATTACTGCAAAATTGCGATCTTTTCCTCAGCTGCAAAATTCCACAATAATTTTTATTAAAAATTCTCCCTAAGTAGTATTTCATAATCGTATTTTTTATGTTCGTATTTTTGGACATTAACGTAAATCTATCAATGTAACAGATTAGTTACTTAACATATTGTGTTGCCATTTTCTTCAGAATAAATAATAAGTAATAAATCAACGGCGCATATAAATAGAAAGTTCTTGTAACCTCATTGCATTTCGTGTTAAGGCTATTCCTTCCGCCAGTACACTGAGAGAAAAAATGATGAAATATGGTTGGAGCCAAAAATAACTATAATTTTAGAATTAAATTCTCCAATCATATTTGTAGTAAAATGATAGCAATAACATGCATATAAGGCTTAATTATCACCAACATTATAGTGAAATTTAACATAGTTAAAAAAACATAGTTTTCTTTCTTAACCATAATTTATAGTAATCATTTCTCTATGTAATTATATTGGGAGTGTGCATTAATTTTAAAGGATTTTCAAGAGATGGCGTACTAAGTACTATATACGATGGAACTAGTACTATATCGCATCGGGCCATTTTGTTGCTACCTTCATGTCAAAGCACTATCATGTGGCTTTAGTTTTCAATAGGTGTCATTTTGCCGAAGTGTAAACAAAATTGTTTTTTGAGCATTGAATATGTCGAATTTTGTGCCAACAAAACGCAATTTGCGGGAAGCTTTGCTTTTTTGCTTCCATTTGAAGAAAAGTGCTGTTGACTTTCAACGAATGCTGTCGGAAACTTATAGTGATTATACTCCATCGATTTCAACATGTGAGTACTGGTTTCGACATTATAAAAAAGGTGATTTTGACACGGAAGACAAGGAACGTCCCCAGGCCAGCCGAAAAAGTTTGAAGATGAGGAAGTGGAAGCTTTACTCGATCAAGACCAGAGTCAAATGCAAGAAGAACTTGCAGAATCATTAAATGTTGATCGATCAACGATTTCCAGACGTTTGAAGGCCATTTGAATGATTCAAAAGCAAGGAAATTGCTTGTGCAAGGGTGCCGTACGAGTTGAAGCCGAGGGACGTCGAAAGACGCAAAATGACCTGTGAATTGTTGCTTCAAAGACACAGAAGAAAAAGTTTTTTGCATCGTATCATGACGGGTGTTGAAAAATGGATACGCTACGATAATCCGAAGCGCAAAAAATCATAGTTCGCCAGGCCAGGCGAACCATCAATATCGACGGCAAAGCCGAATATTCATGGCACCAAGCTCATGCTCTGTATTTGGTGGGATCAGCTGGGTGTAGCGTATTATGAGCTGCTCCAACCCAACGAAACCATCACTGGGGAACGCTACCAACAACAATTGATACAATTGAGCCGAGCATTGAAGCAAAAACGGCCAGATTACGCGAAAAGACACGACAAAGTGATTTTCCCAGAAAGGTGGGAAAAAGTAGTGGCTAGAGATGGACAATATTTTGAATGATCAATTTGTAACAATTTTTTCACAATAAAGCCATATTTTTATCAAAAAATCCCTTAAAATTAATGCACACTCCCAATAGTTACAGATACAAAACATTCCTTTTCAACGTACACAATTCCACTTGACTTTTCGTCATTCATTTTTTCACTTTTTCGCGTTGCTAAACTGTTCTTGCTTTTTGCCCGTTGCTTTTGCATCACCACGAGTTATTTCGAATTTCGCCGTTAGGATATTTTTTTCGTTTTACAAACGAGAAACGAAAATTCCCCAATTTCCCAGCTGCGATGTTGAACGTTAATTAAAAACGAGCACGCGCATGGTTTGCCAGTTTAATAACCATCAGTTAGTTTTAAGTGGATAAGGGAAACTGAGGCATAAAACATATATTTGAAAACGTATTCTCCAATATTTTGGAGAAACGTATCCAATATTTTGTGCTCTCCATTAATAAAAATTATTATTGAATAATAAGAACATAAGTTTATCTTCGTTGGAGAGACAGAAAGAAAGAGAAAGAAAGAGAGAGGTGAGAGAGAAAGAGAGAGAGAGAAAGAGATTATATGAAATATATTCTTGCAAATAACTTATCTTCGTTTTACGCTCCGTAATATATTCGTTTAACTTCGTTTAACGCTATGAAATATATTCTCTAAATAACTTATCTTCGTTTAACGCTAAATAATCTCGTTTGAAGATTAACACGTCAGAAAAATAAGGATATTTCCCAAACAAGAATATCCTTTTCTGTGCACCGTCCCGTAACTGCTCGAAAACCGCATAAACTTTCTACTGGGGATGCGCGCGAATTATTTATGAAGAAGGAAATCGCGTGTTTTCCCGCCGCACACGACGGAAGGCAGAAAGATGGCTGACATTTTCCGCGCGGCAGGAGCGCGGAAATTGAACGGCGTGTGGGAAATATTGTATACATTTCCAACGATGAATTATGAACGGGTCGCGCGCGGGTGTGGAGGCAACCTTCTTCTCGTTTAGCCCGCTATCGAGCTGGTCTGACGTCGAGTTTCCCGACGTCGTTTCGAGTTCTACGGTTGCGCGCCGAGATAAATCCCGTAGCGCCGATCCAATACCCGCCCGTTATCCGCCGTCTGAGTGAATTCCGTAACTTCCGGCACTTTTCAATCCGCATTTCGCACTGTCCGTCCGCCGTGAAAACGTTCGCTCCGTAGATCGCTCGGATCTCGAGCTCTTTCGCCTCTTGAGCATTTCAAATGAGTCTCTCGCCGCGCCTCTCTTGGCACACGACTGCGACGTGCGAATCACCCATTATTAATGGACGTTCATGACGTATTAGCGTTGCCAAATTACGGTCATTTCTCGCAGTCACGCGCTTCCGCGCGATATATTCGCCAAGCGGTATTCGGCGAGACATCTTATCCCGCGAGATTTATTTATTTTCTCCTTGCTGCATGCACTGTTTCTCGCACCGACTACGACACACATCGATTACGGAATAAAAATCGCGCCGACGTGCAATGAAGCAAAATGAAGGTTTTGTCTCGCGATTTTAGCCCGCCTTCGAACGCCCGCGATACATCGATGGGACGCGCGGGGATTCGCTGCGCAACACTAAAAAAAATGTTTCCCTGGTCCAGGTAGAAATTCTAAACGACACAGTTAAAATTTGTCGCAGTTTTTTGTATCTGCCAGAAAATTGTCTGTGATACGTAGAATTTACCAGCAACAATGCTCTAGCAATATCTGCAAGTAAATTTAAGTGAGATTATACATATTCGTTAATCTCTCATAATCTCTTTTGTCTATCACAGTCAATTTTTACAAGTGTGAAGTGTAGCTTTAGTCGGAATGGACGCCACAGAGAGATTTTCTTTCCAAATTTCACAAATGGTTCACAGATGGTTCAGATAGAATTCTGTCTATGTCGTCTATATTGGTTAAATATATAATATATGCGATATCGCAGTATTTACTAGTCATTTATCTCTCTTAACTCGCATCTAGAGAATTTCTGCTATGGGTGCAAGACCATTTTTGAGTGAAGTCTCGTTATTTGTCGATTGTCACCTCTATCACAGGAGTTTATACACGGAAAAAAAAGATTTGCTACATATGGACAACTAAACATAATTTGCTGTGTTAGACACTTTTTCTTTGCTACAGGAATCAATTTCCTTGCTGTGATAACAAGAAAATCTGCTCCTGCAATAAAAAAATAGCTAAAACAGTAAATTATGTTTAATTGTCGGTCTGCAGCAAATTCGCTATGTTAGCAGCTTTTCTTGCTATAGAAGCAAATTTTCTTGTTATCATAGCAAAAAATAGGTTCCTGTAGCAAAGAGTAGTTCCTGTAGAAAAAGTAGCTTACATAGCAAATTGTGTTTAACTGTGCATATGTAGCAAATTAGTTTGCAGCAAATCCTTTTTTTCCGTGTACTGCCGAATGCCTTACTTCCTCCAAATTCCTTTTTCTTCCTCTGCTCCACACGTGCATTCTTTGTTCGCGCAATTTTCGATTTGTTTTAACAGTATAAATAAATATTCTTCAAGTTT